CTGGGGAACCAGCATTGTCACCCCTGTGGTACTTCTCAAGCACCCAGAAGTGGGAAGGATCAGCAAGAGTGAGAAAGCCGTGGACTTCCAGCCCAGCTCCATGCTTGTTCTTCAGTATTGTTCACAAATGCCTTCTTGCCTGGGGTGATCTGGGCCAATACCAGACATCCCCTCATTTCATATGACTCCTGCACTGTGCTTTTAACACGTCATTACTGTTTTGTTTAAGAGGCCTTAATAGTCCATCTTGTATCATGTTGTATCTTGTACATTGAAGATCTTTGACAGATATTTTACTTGTAAGGTTGCTGCTTTTTTCTTTGCACATGTATATGTCTATGGCATGTGTGTTTGCATGCACATATACATGTCTGGGTACATACACACACGTGTACACATGAGGAACTGAACTGACTTTGGTGTTTCCTTCAGTAACCCCTGTGTGAGGCAGAGACTTGCTGGAGTGGGAGCATGCAGGCTTTGGCCAGCTTGGCCAGCTTGCCAGAGCCCTGCCTCTGTGATCCGAGTGTGGGTGACTCATTTGTCTGGTTTTCATGCGTGCTTTGGGGAACTGAGCTCCCTGTGCTGTGTGCCCAGTGGTTTTTCCACTGGTGCCCAGCCCTCAGGGTTTGCTTTCTAAGTTTAAAAACTGCTCTTGAAGAATGCAGTCTGTGAGCAGGGGCACGCCCAGTTCGTGCATGAATTCCTGAGTTTGCTTGCTAGCACTCAGCTGAGGAAACTGGGCATGGCACTATGCCATCATTTCAGGGACCCAGCACCACAGGGGCAAGGACCCCTGGACTGGCTGACCAGCCAGCTGAGCCCCCTTGGTGAGTTCCAGACCAGTGAGACACCTGCTCTCCCGACAAGAATGGTGCCAGAGGAACAACATCTGAGGTTCTTGACATACACGTGCACACACTCACACTTATAAACATGTTATAAACATGCACGTGTGTGCACGTACATACACTTGTGCACACGGACTCACTGCATGCACACAGCTTGGCATGCTTGCAGTGTGGAAAGGGATTGCTCATTCTTAATTACTGATGTCACAATTTTCTCTTTTAAATTCAGATTGTCTTCTGTTTTTAATTCTGCCTTCCCTTTTCTTCTGCTTTCTGTTTGAGTTACTAATTACTTTTACTGATTCTCACTGATAATTTAGCAGTTCTGTTGGGTTTTAGTTCTTGTCTACATTGTAAATAAAACTACATTTCTGGACAGTAGATGGAGTTGGATGAATACGCTAGCTTTGGAGTAGTGACCCCCTTCTTTGCATGTGTGTGTGTGGTAAGTTAGACAGATATTCATGGGAAAGTCAATGGACAGTTAACATTGTTTCTATCACTGAGTTCTGGACCAGTTTTTTGAGTTTTTGGGACAGGATCTCGTTATACATTCCTGGCTGGCCTGGCGTGTCACTGTGTAGGCCAGGGTGGCAGCAAGTTCAGTGAGATCCACCTCTTCTACCTCCCTAGCGCTTGAATGAAAGCCTGTGACAACATGTCCTCCAGGGTTTGGGTTTCCACTCACGCTTTAACATCCCACATTGTGCCTTGTTGGGTTCTTCAGGCTGCCATACCAAAGTACCATCGACGGAGTGGCTTAACAACCAAAATTAACCTTAGAGCTCTGGAAGCGGGGCACTCAAGATAATGGTGTCAGCAGGGTTAGCTTCTTTTGGACACCTCTTTCCTTGGCTTGCAGACAGATGTCTGCACACGGCCTTGCTGTGTGCCTGTGCCAGTCTCTTATGAGGGCCCTAGGCATACTGGAGTAGTGCCCACCCTTAGGACCTCAGTTAAGGTAGTCGCTTGGCTTACTCCTGTCTCCTGATGCACAGTTTTGTCCTGAGGTGCTGAGGGTTAGAGCGTCAAGGTAGGCTGTGTGAGCCCCCAGCAGTCCTGTGCTCCTGCCTTCATCTGTTTATTCTCAGCAGGAGCACTCCAGGCCAGCCTCAGTGTGTGCAGCTTCTCAGGAATGTAGGCGAGTTTGCGGGAGTCACGTGCTGAGGCCTTTTTCAGCATGCTTCTTATTCTTCATTCCTGTGGATTGGAAGTCTCATAACTTTGGGTCTTTATTTTGAAATCCCGTATTCCCAGGAGGGAGACCTTCAGAATTTCAATGGGCATGTGTTAGATCCTGTTCTAGACAAAGACTCTTTCTGAACCTAGAGAGCAGAACCAAAAATACTGGCATCCGCTCTCCTTGTAGGTGGGAGCAGCAGTGAGGAGACAGAGGCCCATGGCACCAAGCACTGTGGCAAGCGTCTGCCTTATGTAGTGCTCTCTCCTGTTCTAGCGGACAACCATGTCTGTCCCTTCCGTATCCATAGTCAGATCCTGTCCGAGGCAGGGCCAGCTCCAACATGGTCAGCCCTGGAAAGACAGCTTTCATGGGCTATCTCCATCTAATACTTGTCCAGCCAAGATTGACATTTGCTAAAGATACCATGTAAAACATTAATTTAAAATGATGTTATTTAGAGATTTAAAACCTGTGCCAATAACCTCTCCCTTCAGGTGTCTCCTTTGGAAATGTTGGTGTAGTTCAGAATAGGTGTGTTCTTATGGAGGGATCTTGCCATTCATGATTATACATGCCAGACTTTATGCCGGGATCGCTGGCTGACAAATGTTTATAGTCAGATATCCGTCCACTCAGGAAATGTGGATTCTTTCCCTCACCCTCTCTGCACAGAGGCTGAGTGAATCCCTCTTCATCCGTTCGCGGTCTCTCTTGCTGTTAGCATGCAAGTGTAAGCAATTACAGTTTACGAAAGTTCTTCTCCTCGAAGGGAAGGCCTGCCTATGCAGTCACCTGTTTTAAACAATGTTTTAGGAACTGTTAGGTAATTCAGGGTCAAGTCTTGAAGGGTTAGGTCAGGGAGAGTTGGAGCAAATGAGGGCTGTGGATATCTGCTTCAGTCCTGGCTGGAGGCTTCCAAAGCTGACTCAGCAGGTTCTGCTTTAATCCTGTTTCAGCAGAAGAAAATACAAAGCCCTTTAAGTAACTTTTTAATGTTTACTTATTTTTTTAAAATTTTTAAATGATTTCTGGCGTGGAATAAGGACAGGAAGGACAAAGCTCCTTCCTGTCATAACCCTGTCTAGAGTTGCCCCTTCTTTAAGTCCATGTAGAGTCACATATCTTTTCTTTACCATGAACAGTTTCAGAGTAAAACTTCAGGCCTCAAGCCCCTTCTTTCCTGAATATCATTTCCTAAAACTGCAGAATATTTTTTACACAGCCTCAGAACCCCAAGTCAGGATGGTGACATTGGCGCCTCACTGTCCCCGCCTGGGCAGAGCATTCAGGCTTTACCAGAGGCCTCAGCAAAGCTGCTGCGAAGGAGACAATTTCTGGTCCAGGGTGATATGTTATAGGTCACATATAATTTTTTTTACGCTTTTGTTTTTTTATTCTTTTAATGTTTTGAGTTTGGTCTCCCTGTGTAGCTCAAGCTGGCTTTGAACTTGGGATCTTGCTACCTCTGCCTCTTGAGTGCTGGGGTCATAGGCTGGTGCTCTCTCTTTAGTCTCTCTTAATCTGGATAAGTCCCATGTTCTTTCAGTCCTTTATAGCCTTGACCTTTTTAAAAAAGCAGAGGCCATTTTGTAACTAGCATATCCTAGGAAGAGTTAGGAGCACCGAGGTGCTTTCCCACGTGAAGCTGGCGTTGGCCACTAACAGAGGGCTGTGAACTTGTTTCTTAGAATATCATTTCTCACAGATCATAATTAAACTTTCTCATAAGGTCTTTATTTAGTGTCACATTTATTTTATGAAGGGTAGATGCTTATTTTAGCAATGATTTGTCATTAAAATTATGTCAAAATGTCTTAAAATGTTGTTGAAACTGTAAACAAACTCATAACACACACAGAGCTAATTATGGATGCCATCTGTTTATTTTTACCAAGCTTTTTTTTAAAAAGACCATGGCATTGTCTGCTTATGATAAGCTTCAGGATTATTGTAATGTCCAAGCTCTGTCCTTCAATTAGTGCAGCTGAAGCTGGGAGACAACTCGCTTGTTCAGTGACCTTTTCCTGTGTCGGTGTATAAAATATGACATGTCACAATAAAGAAATTAATGAGACATACCATCTAAAACTTTAATTTTTTAAGGGAAAAAAATGTTATCAAAGTAATAGGTATGGCCAACGCTTTCCTAAAATTTTTAGAACTTATTTGAGATTTTAGACAAAAGATTACATGCTCTTTTTCAGTGCTCTAAGTGGCCTTACTTGAACTCAAGCATAAGGATTTGTAAGTGGACAGTCAATCAAATTGTACCAGTGCATATGTGCTCTTGTGGCTGTGTCTCAGCTGCATGTTCTTGCACATATGCATCCCATGTGTTGGGGTGGAGGCCAGGTAGTCCCCTGGCAGCATCAGCTGAAGTGGGTACCAGTGCTCTGCTGAGAAAGCGAGTGGGCTCCCTCCCCCTGTCTGCTATTGTGCATGGTCAGCACTGCCCAGGTCTGTCTGCAGAGAGGCAAGCTGAAGGCTCCATCTGCTGCTTCCTGCCAGGCTGCACTGATGCAAGATTACGCTAATCCTGCTGCTTGTCAGGACCGCTTAGTGAAAGCATGCAAGTGGGCACGACTCAGACTGGACATGGGCTTGAGAACACCAGCAGCTTCCCCATAGAACCGCAGCAAGCGCAGCAGAAGGCTGCTTATCAGCCAGGTTGAGAGCTGCAGCAAAAGAAATGGGAAGTTAAACTCTTGGAGTCTGGCCACAAATTAGTCGGAAGTGGGAGAAGTAATACAAAGCACACACATACATTTCAGAGTTATTCTGACTCTCGTCTGTGTAAAGTTGTGTTTATTTTTTCATTTTATGTATTTCACCAACATTTTTAGTTGGGAATTATTAAGGGTTAAACAGAATTAACTGCGCTTGACTCTGAAACTTTGTGAACTTTTCCGTGTTGATGCCTCTTTGTTTGATTTTTCTTCTATTAACTGGCAGACTTGGCCTTACAGGTTGAGCACCCCGTCACGGAATGCATTACCGGCCTGGACTTGGTCCAAGAAATGATCCGTGTTGCTAAGGGTTACCCTCTCAGGCACAAGCAAGAGGATATTCCCATCAGCGGCTGGGCAATTGAATGTCGTGTTTATGCCGAGGTAAAATGCATCTTGATGTGAGAAAGGAGGGTGGTTATGTCCAAGTTTGGAACAGCCAGTGTGGCTAAGCCATAGGTAGAGAAAAGGTGTGATAACCCATGGGCAAAGCGGAGAAACACTAGGTCATTTGAAACAATTAAAAACAGAATGGAGTTCAAGTATCTCTGTCGTTCTGGGTGGGGAGGCCAGTAACCACGTGTTGAGAGACAGCTGAGTGACCTTGACTCTGTCCTTTAGGAGTCCGTGGAAGATCTAACTTGTAAAGCTTTTGGTAAAGCATGGACTTTTGATTCCTAATTGTAATTACAGGTTTTTGCTAACCTCTTAGTCTGCCAGTTTATAGAATTTTCGTGTATCACAGAGTGTCTGAAGATGCTTCTCCAGATGATAGAAGAGAAAGGCAGCACAAACATTTGCGCAGTCTTTTAGGTGCACAATGGTCTACCGGTAGAAAAGCGGTGTGTCAGAGTGTCTCCATGAGTGATGTGAGCTGTTTTGAAATCTTTAAGTGGCTCAAAACCGTGCTTGGTCCCAGCGTCTCGGCTGTGGATCGTAAGTGAGGTGGTGACCCCAAACTTCCCAGTCAGTTCTGTTCTCATGGTGTTTACAAGCAGAACATGTACACGTGTCGAGGCATGTGTGACTTTTCTAAGTCTTTGCTGGAAGAACAGAGTCCCAGCTTCGCCATATGTGAGCTGTTTGGAGAGGTAAGAAGAGCAAACCTCCTTAGTGTGCTGTGTTTGTTCTGAACTCGAGCTGTGTTTTGAGGAAGAGTCTAGGTCATTTTATTTTTGCCCACAGCACTGTAAGAAATTTTAGAGAAAGTTGGCATTTTACCAACTTCAATAAAGTACGCTGGAGGTCAGGCGAAGCTCTGCTTGCAGTTCTCTTGAATTTTAAATATACTTGCAAGTTGTCTAGAGGATGAGGCAGTTGTGCTCTGGAGTCTATGATTTGGTAAATGCCGTATGTTAAAATAGACCTATAAATACTCCTCATTGTAGTTAACCTTCCTCTCGCTGGTTTATGTTTCAAAGCCTGTGCTTCCTTTCCTTTGAACCTCCAGGACCCCTACAAGTCTTTCGGTTTACCGTCTGTTGGGAGGCTGTCTCAGTACCAGGAGCCGACACATCTACCTGGTGTAAGTCATTAACTGTGGTACCAACTGAGGGGCTCAGACCTTGATTTATGCCACACTTTTATGTTAGAGAATGTCAACACTAACGGGTGTAAATTGAGGGACAAGGGAAATTCATGGGGGGTCAGTTTCTGTATTAAATAAGAAATATTTTTTGTACTTTATGGTATTCAGAAAAATCAGAATCCATTCAGCAGGGTAAGTTCAAACACACCTAATCGTGTAAATGATAGTTTATGCCATGAAAGATTATAGAATCCTAAGAATAGGAAATGAGTTTTTGTTGCTGTTAAAAATGTTAGCTTTTCTTAAAAAAAAAAAAAACAAAAAACAAAAAACAAAAAACAAATCCAGCCCCATGTTGTCATCAGATGTCAAGAAATTCAAGCACCAAACCCGCTCATTAGCAGTACTTCATTAAAGAGGACATTGGCCTCATTCTGGGCAGCACCATCAGCTTTAAGGAGAAAGTGACCAACACCCCGTTGATTCCATAGCTCCTCTGTGGCTTGTCCTTCGAGCTGTTGGATTGCATAAGAAGAGCAAGGGCAGCGCCCTGTCTTACTCAGGGTGCTGGGTGACTCAGAGAGGATGCAGAGTGGTATCTGGTGCATGAAAAGGCTGCACCATCTGCGAATATGATTATTCTGTTTGATGGCCGCTGAGAGGATGGTGAAAGATTACAGGAAGAGTTCTAAATTTGAAGATGTTATTGGATAGATGATTTATTTCACTTTTAAACTGTTTTTGCCCATGTGCTTTCTAAAGGGACTTGACCCTTTCTAGGCCTGGAGACTCCATGCTGTGTTCAAAGCCCGGAGGCAGAAAAAAAATTGTAAAGATTGAACAGGCATTATGTGATACTAAATAGCACACGGGAGCAAGTGCCATAGCGACATATCTAAACACTTTTTTAATCAAACAAGAAAGTCTTAAATAAGAAGCCATGATGATTACTCTGGTTTTTAGAAGTTTCCACCATGTTGTAATAGCTCACAGGATGTCAAACATTTTGACCTCTCAAGTTTTTGCAATTTGCAATTTTCAGACGTGAGACCTGTTGAAAGTACAAGTGATAATGGACAAACTGTACCCCCCACAGTCTGTGTCCCGCCAAACCTTTCTTCAATTAGTACTGCAGCAGGAGTTTTATGTAATAACCTTTGCAGTTGTGGTCTATCCATAGAAAGAAAAAACAATTAAAATGCCTTAAATGTTCTGCTTACTGCTGTTATTTGCGTGCGTGAATGTTGCATGTCAGCTAAATGGACCAAGGAATAGATTGAGAGATTGGGGGCAGGAGAGTGCGCACTAAGCTTTGCCTATCATTATTGCTGGGAGCAATCACATCGATGTCAGCAGGACAGGACACGCGTTGACAGCTGTAATTATGTATCTCCATGGTGATCACTTTTGGCCTGTCATGGAGGCCCACGAGTCCCTCCCTTAGACGCACTTAATCAGATTGGGCTGTCACTTGTCAGGTAGACGTGGGGCTGGGAGCTGTGCTGAGGGAGAGGTGAATTGATAATGAACAGTGGGAGGTGCATGATGGTGTCCAGCGTCCACATTTTGGCTGACGAAGGCAATTTTAATTGTGCTAGAGGTAGCTGGGGCTGACTTGAGAACCTCATGCTTGGGGTGCGGGAGTGTTTTCACTGTGGTCCTCTTTCCCTCACTGTATTAAAGCTAGGTGTGCTGGTCTCCTTTGGGAAACCAGATTTTGTTCTTGGGTTTTTCAGGCCCAAGAAAGGGCGAACATTTCAGAGTTAACGTCTGATTCACACCTTTCACGTTTCTTTACGAGTGAAACATGCTCGTAGGGCAGAGAGGAGGCTTTTCCTTATAGTCTTTGATCATCCAGGCTTGAGGATTTATTTGCAGATCACACTGGTGGTCTGCCTAGAGCTCCATTTGATTTTACTCTTGAAGTGGTCAGTGAAAGCAGGTGTGGCCTTTGTTTTCATGGAGGAACAGGTACAGACTTTGGCTTTGAATCGATTGTTAGGAGTACGGTATATAATTGGCTATTCCTTTGGAAAATATATAGATGGTGAGTACAAGTAGTGTTTTTTGTTTTTGTTTTGTTGCTTTATATAGTTTCTTTGGAATGCTGATCTGCTGATTGTGTCTGATACATTTTGATTTGACCCGTTTGTTTGAAGTGACATATTTGGTAACCACTGAAAGCCAGAGCTTCCGTCCTGCAGCAGTCCAGTGCTGTGGGCAGAAAGCTGGCGCAGAGGAGCTCTGCCTTATTGGCACGCAAACCAAGCAGACGGTACCTTTCCTCTTAACCGGGTCACCAGCAGCTGCTGATGCAAGAGAAGATCCGCTGTGACTGCCGCTTTCACAGCTGCCCTGCAAACCCTTTGCCATTTTTTTTATAAACATCAAATTTTATAGAATTCATGTCCAGAAGTCTGTTTTCAGGAAACCAAGGCTGCATACGCTTTGTATGAATGTGGAGTGGCTTTCACATTCCTTCCTGCAGGAATGTGGGGCACATGGGCTTGTACTACACAGAGAAATAAGAGCTCCTTGGGCACGTCCCGGCCTTCTCTGGGAAGGTGCACAAAGAGAGTGGTGGTGAGACTTCTCACTTATCTTCCAGTGTCGCATAATAAAGCCGTCACCCACCTTCATGTGCACATTCTAGACAAGAGGTTCTAAACGTGCTCCCTTGATAACGGCCTAAATTAAAATGTTAAAGCCCCCCAGCCGCTGTGTTGACCTTTCCTGCCTTGCCACAGACAGCTGCTGTTGACTGTAAGCCTCCTTAGCACAGGTGACAGAGCCCTGAGCCTCCTCTCCTCTCCCACCCTTACAGCGCTGGACACCGTCCTGCTGTTCTAGAAGCTTCCATTAATTCCTCCATCCTCACGCCCGAAGATATACCTGTCAGTCTTTGATTAGCTTTTAAATACTTCAGATTCCAAAACTTGGTCACAATAATTTAATAAATGTTCTGTCCTTGGCAGATACTCATTCAAAATTTTACATGGCTGACCTCTGTGCTGTACTACTCTATCAAGCTGGGAGAGGAAAACAAGATTCAGAAATGGACTAACTAACGTGTTGGCTGCTTAACAGCAACCAGGGGCTTCAAAAGGATATTTTGAACCTGTGCCGGTCCTGCCCAAGATGAAAACCGCAAAATCCGAGCTCTAATTGGAGCTTGCGTCCTCACAGAGCAGGGCTGAGGGAAAGCTGTGTAAACATGAAGGCCTCTTGGGGTGAACAGTAACAGAAACAGTAACAGCCCTCACCATTGAGGGGGTGTGGCACAAAGGGGAAAGTGTTGCAGACATGAAAGCCAGTCCGTTTGTCTGGCTCCTAAGTCCTGGGAGGAGGAGGTCTGTCCAGGGCCTGCAGGGTGCTCTTGGAGGGAAGGGGGCTCTGGAAGGAGAGCACCCCAACTTGCCGCAGCCAGCCGCAGGTGCACCCTCAGGGAGGGGTATGTGGTGCTTTCCTCCCCCGCTTTCTTTTCTGTGGTGAAAGAATACAAATTGTGAGCTGTACTCATATGAAGAGAGCAAAGATCAGCCCCTCATCACGTGTCTGTGTTGTTTTCAGTTTTCCAGAGGCAGGAATGTTGAGATTGAAATTTTATTATCTATTTTCTCCATGGAAAAATAGTGTGTTTTTAACTAAAACAAATGTGCCCAATTTGAAGTTATGTACTTTTTCTTTTCTTTCTGTCAGGTCCGAGTCGACAGTGGCATCCAGCCAGGAAGTGACATCAGCATCTATTATGACCCTATGATTTCCAAAGTTAGTTCCATTTCTTTCAGTTTTCTTTGAGATAGCGCACATATTTAATTATGGAGTTGGAAGTTGAGCCTTTTCTTAACAATGTACTATACTTTACAGTCGGTAAGCAGCATGCATGAGTGGCAGGTGCTGTGGAGAAACGGCCCACAGGCTACTCTTGTCAAGAAAGCTTTCGCCCTTCGAAGGTTTTTCAAACTGCAACTTGAGTGGATTTGACTTTTGTTGTTTAAACTATGGCTGGAACCCAGAGCCTGGTGCCCCCCAGGCAGGCACCCCACCATCGAGCCACCACCCAACCCAGTTAGCGTTTATAAAAAGTGTACGGCAGGATTTGGCCCTGTGTCTCTTTAAACTTTAACTCAGCATGGTGAACTTCGGACTTAGGACTTCATAAATTGCAACAGATAAACAACAGTTTTACTCTGAAAACCCCTTGTCTCTTTATCTCAAGGACCAATTATCCTCAAGTTTTCCTTTAGTTTTGGAGATAAGACAGGGATTGTGCAATTCTGTTCCGTGCTCTGTCGTGCACCAAATCCCTAGTTCCCAGATTGCTTTCTTACATAGTTGTAGCTACAGAAACAAGCCGTTTTTTAATCTTTGTAATTTTTCACTTAAGTTTTTACCATAATACTTTTAAAAAGAAATCTTAGATGTACTTATTAGAGAAACACAGTTTGGAAGTAAAAATACAGAAAATACTATAAATTGATTTTCAAATTAGCTATGTTTTTAGATGAATGCGCTTCTGTTCAGAAAAATGACCTGCAAATTTTCTAGGTGGCCCATATGCATGAAATTAATTTCTTTTTCCTGAGCTGCTATCTCTCTGTGGAGCTGGTTGATTTGGAACTCGCTTTGTAGACCAGGCTGGCCTCAGACTCACAGAGATCTGTCTGTTTCTGCCTCCCAAGTTCTGGCCATAAAGGTGTATGCCACCATTTGGCAAACTGGCTTTATATTGAAGAGCTTATAAAATTTGCTAAAATATTATGGGGGGATACAAAGTGAATAAAGTGTAATTAATAAAAAAATAATAAAAAATTTGCTAAAATAATTACAGCCTACAATCTGATGATACTTTAAATTTACAGAGATTACATATAAAAGGACGCCACAGACTCATGTAGGAAAACAAGGCCTTGTTCATTTTAACCAGCACCTTTAGTTTTTGTGTTATGGTGTGGATGACCCAATAATTTTAAGGACAGTCTGGCTTTTTTTTTCCCCCCACTTTCATACTGGCTCTTTTGCAACTTACAAAAGTTTTAGCTGCTTAGGAGCTCAAACTTGGAAGCATTGAAAAACATGGAAATTAGAGCTTCGTCCCGGCCTCACACCGTGCCATGTCCCAGCATGCCGTGCCACGTGCCGTGGGTCATGCCACATGCCGGCGTGCCGTGGCAGGTGCCGGCGTGCTGTGGCAGTTCCTCAAGCCCTGCTCTCTCCTCTCCTCCGTCTTCCATGCTTGTGTTTGGAGCACATTTGTGCTTGTTCTTGAATGTTCTTTTTTCTATGACAGTGACGTGTGTAAGGAAAGCCTGAGATGGGCTGGTTCTCATTTGCTTATTCAAAGAAATCTCACTTGACATATTTCATATTAAAAAATTGGGCCACTCTGAAGATTGAAAGGACACACTGGGGGGGGGGGGTGTTAGGAAGTGTTGAGCTTTTACGAGGCCTGGTTGCTCAGGATCTGGCTGACTCTGCACATGTTTTGTTTGTGCACAGTTGATCACATATGGGTGTGACAGAGCAGAAGCGCTGAGGAGGATGGCAGACGCCCTGGATAACTACGTGATCCGAGGTAAAGTCCCGCTTGCCTTTCTGCTACTGTGTGTGGCGCCCGGTTCTGGAGAAGGGCTTGGAGGCTTTGCAGTTGGTAATCCCAGGCAGGGATCGCTCACTGTGTTTAAACAGAAGTGTTAGTGACACCGGGCACAGGCGTGTGGCCCTCTGCGGTGTGAGCTGTTTGGTGAACCCAGGGCTTCCTTTTCCTCTCAGTGCACTCAAAGCAGCATGAGCAGCTGAAGAGCCGTTGGCTGTGCCCGGCTGCTGTGTCTGCTGTGGCACTGTCTGTGAGTTCCGGGGCTTGGGAAGCGGGGGACTTACACATGTGCGGAGAGGAACCCAGCGCCTCACACACAGGTGATCTCCTGGGTCTGGGAGAACAGTTCTCGGCTCTGCTCAGTGGTGGAGAGTTCGCTGGAGAGAGTGTTGTGTTCTGAGGGTCTCCATTCTCAGGTGCCTGTGAGGGCTGCAGGCACAGAGGTGACTGCAAAGGCACCAGAGGCCATGCAAAGCGGTTATTCTTGCCTGCCCTGAGGAGTAAGTTATATGCTGACCAAGTGCCGACCTCGTGATGAGATTAAATTGTGCATTACAGTTTCGGATGGTCAGAGAGGGCGTGAGAGCACCATCCAGGCCAGCCTGGCTCCTGGCTTTCTCTGGCCTCTGCTCTTCCGGGACTCAAGTGTGGTCTCTGTGTCCACATCAGGTGGCTCCCAACCACACGTCACGTTAGCTCCAGGGACCTGATGTCCTCTCTGTGCCTCTGCGGGAACCCATACACGTTTGTGCATGGGACACAGATAGATACAGATCAGCAGGAGGCGGGCGTGAGCAGCAAGTGGGAAGCAAGTAAAGGGGGTAAAGGTCGTCCGTTCTCTGACTCTGAATGTGGCTATTTTTGAATCTTGGACTAACTTCTGTTTGGGTTTGAAAAATTCAGACAGAATACTATCAACTGATGGGACATGTTTCAGATGAGTGATAGAGCCGCGTGAAGGATGAGGTCTTTGGAGAGCTGACCCAAACAGCTTAGCTGTATTAACTGTTCGTGCCCCTGGGCTAAAGACAAAATATGTGTAAACAAATACTCACCTCTGGTTAACAGGTTTATTTTTCATAGTTGTTGGGTTAGCAGTCTGAAACCAATTTGTGTACATTCTGGAATTGAGGAAATAAATGGATGTACTATGGGTAATAAGAACCAAGTCTCCCCGTCAGAAAGGCGGTAACAGATGTGGGAGTCAGTGCCTGGGGTGAGGGAGCCTTGTGTGTGGTATGAGGTCGGCCTAGAACTGTCCTTGAGAGCACCTGGGCTTTGATACAGACGATGCCTGCGTAAAGGGGCGTGTGTGTCTGTGTGTGCATTCACACAGTGTGTGCAGCCATGTGCACACCCGCTCATTCTGTAGCTGAGGGTGCTGAATGTTGGCACTGTTGACATTTGGGGACCAGCAGCTGTTGCAGGGTGACAGTCTACAGAGTGGCCTGTCCACATGCTTGGCTTCTGTCCTCTCAGTTTACTAACTGTGTCCAGGCCTCAGGAAAAGTGTACGATAAGCCTTAGCCACCCGTGTAGGAAGGGAAAGCTGTGTTGGGGAGACCTCAGGCCAGGCCTTCACACCAGTCACCGCTCGCCTGCAGTCCACTTACATGGTAGGCTGAAGCAGGAGGATGGCTGTGACAGTTCCAGGCCAGTTTTGGCAACAGCGCGACACTCCATGCAAACCTTAAAATGAACGAAGGAAAGCGTTAGAATACAAGTGTTAGGAAGACGCAGGAGCTGCTTGAAGAGGCGCCGGCTAGTCAGAGGGGAAGGTGGTCTGTCCTGCCAGCAGCAGCGCACTCACGGTTGGGGGACAGGACTCCCTCGGGCACCTGAGGAATGAAGGAGGTGGCATGGCTCCTCCACACAGATCTTAAGGCAGAGCATGTGGAAGCAGTGCTGTGCTGAGAATATAAATCCAAGAAAACCAGTAGATGCTGAAGCTAATGAGGAATATGGAAAACAGCTGTTTTCGTTGTTTCTTGCTGTCCCTTTGTAATACACGCAATGAGCACCGTGGAAAGAGTGTGACGCTAGCAACGTTACGAAGCAGCCAGGGCTCACCACTGTTGCCGTGTAAGCCATGTCCTGTGGCTCTTGTGGCCATCTCTCTCTCTCTCTCTCTCTCTCTTTCTCTCTCTCTCTGTCTCTTTGTCTCTGTCTGTCTTTTTCTCTCTCTCTCTCACACACACACTGCTGAAAATAGGTAGACTGAACATAATCCTGAGGAAACATCAGACATACCAACCTGAAAGACAATCTGCACAATAAATGGCTTCTGATCTTCAAAGGTGTCAAGGTCAGTAAACACAAGAGAAGTCAACAGCTTATCTAGATCAAAGCAAACCAGAGGCATGAGAATGCTCCGTGCTGCAGGGTTTTCACTGGATCCTGGACCAGGAGAAAAAAGCTTTCCTTTGTATAAAAGTCATAAATGGGACAGCTGGAGGAATCTGAATAAAGTCTGTAGATTAGAAAAAGACTTGTGATTGTGGAAGAGACGTATCTTCCTCTTAGCAAATGTCAGGAAGATATTTAGAGGCTATTCTATTTTCAATTTACCTTCAAGTGTTTACATGGAAAAAATGATGTGTGTGGTCTGTGCTCTGTGCATACAGAGGGTCAAGCACAGAGATGTGCTGAGCTACCCTAGATGCAGAGCCTGGGTCACGGGTGAAGTGTAATTATCTGTACTAGTTTGGCCAACTTTCTAAGATTCTGAAATTATTACAGAATAGGTTTTCTCTTTTTTTCTTTTAAATAACGCTCTCCTTTTCTACTCTCCTCCATTATCTCTGATGCTTACTTCTTTACCTGGTGAATGCTAAAGAGCAGATGTTTTAAAACTGTGAAGGACAGGGAAGGAAGAAGAGTTTACTATGTCCTTAAGTCCTGCTTCACTGGTCAGATGTGGCCACCACCCCCACTCCACCATTACTTGTGAGCTTTTGTGGAAGTAGGGAAACTCTAGAGCACAGTATACCTACCTTAAACTTCATTTCCAAGTCCCCATGAAAGAAGCAGTGGCCTCGGCCTCTGTTTGATCCTGGCCAGTGTCTGGCCTGCTGTTTTGGAAGCAGCAGGGAGTCAGAAGGCTGCTCCGGGGGCCTCCCTCCGTGTCCTGGTCATGATCTCCCACGCAGATGGGACCTGGTGAACTCTGCACAGGCCACCCCAGTTCTCATTCTAAAGCTCACAAGTCACGATTTTTATGAGTGTGTGATTAATAATATTGCTGGCCTGTAAACTAACTCCTAAAGTCTGCTTACTGCATATACAGGGACTCCTTCAAACGGCCCTGTCTTCGGAGAGAAGGCAAACTAAGAGCACAGTGGTGCTTCTCACAGGGACCGCTCCTTCCACTGTTGTTCAAGCTTTCTGCATGCGGGTCAGTTTCCTGAGTAGTCCTGTTTTGGCTTTAGAATTAGTTTCTGGACATTATTTCCTGGAACAGCTAGTTGTGCTGTTAGCCATACATGAAAAAAAAAAGGTGTTATTTTACTGTGTACTTAGAGAAGGAAACACAGTGGTTTGATCTCACATGGTAGTAGATGGTATGTTATTCAGAGAACTTTGAGGACAAATGTATCTGAGTTTTCATTTTATTCTTGCAACTTAGTGAAGTCTAAGTTTTTTTTCATGGTGTATTTGCTATGCAAGCAGAAATAGTTAACAAAAGAATCTTCAGTGGAATGGAAGCAGCCGTGGTGCCCATCAATAGACGATGTGTATGGAAAGTCTAATACACCACTGCAAAGAAAAACGAAATTACGAGAAATCGAGGGAAATGGATGGAATGGGAAAAAATCACAGTAAGGAGGTTTCCCAGACTCAGGAAGACATCAACCCTACCTTCCAGTTCATATGATCGTTACTACCCTAGTTTGTAGTGAGTCAGTGTACACTTACAAACAAGAGTAAATGTGCGTAAAGCCAGAAAGGAGACCAAGAGAGTGTAAAAAGTTCTGTGGTGATTGGGGGAGTAGAGTACAAAGGACACGTGATATGAAGGCAGAAAGGAGACAGGATGGAGGGGAAGGAAGTGATGAAAGCTGAGTCAACCATGAAGTAGGTGGAAAGGCTGTTAGAGTACCTAAGGCTTTGTGTGCTAACTTTAAAATTTTAAAAAAGAAATGTCATAACAGAAAGAGATACCCATCTGTGTGTCTGGCTCTGTTGTTTCATATTCTAAATGTAAGTAATGTTTGTTCATAATTCTTTGGGGTTATCTCTTCTAAACTAAACACCCCCTTTTCAATTTTGAATATGGAATGAAATGCCATTCATCCTGGTACTTGCACTTTTTCAATATTTTAGATATCAGGATCAGAAAGTAACCTTATCTTGTCCAAATGATCATAAACTGCCTTTTAAATCACACCACATTTTCTGAAGGCAGGACTCTGCTAACTGTTTGGGTACTGGCAGTATGGAAGGCTGAGAAACCTGTGCCAGGACTAAACTGTAAAGGGAAACTCAGTTAAGGTAAATGTGCTTCAGTCTTCTGGATTTGTTCTCACCCATAGGTTGTTAGTTCTTGTGTCCTTTGGGTATTGTAATTCCTGTGGCAGTGCTGATCTGATCTGCACTGTGATCCCTGTGGCAGTGTGACAGTTGATTTCATCCTGTGTCTGCTACTCCTGCTAGTCTTTTTTTTTTTTTTTTAAATTGGCTTTACATCCCCATCAGAGCCCTCTCCTTCCCCTCCTCTGGGCCCTGCCATCACGCCCTTTCCCCTTTCCCCGCCTCTCCTTCTCCTCAGAAAGGGAGCTGCACCACTCTGTCTGCTCCCAGGCATCTGCCTCGTCCAGGTGCAGCAAGCGCTCTTCCTTCGGGCTTTCCGTGTTAGCCGAAGCACCTCTGTTGCACTGTAGAACCCAAGATTAGGACATCTGTGACTCAGGCCCTGCCCTTGACATCAGGCAAGCCATGCAGCCGTGGCTAAACCCTGTACTTCTCACCAGCTCCACTCCTTTTTCCATGGACGCTCTCAGCCTTTGTTGTGGACCTCAGCTGGGGTGATTTGCATTGTACAGGTGTGAATGAGCCTACCCCTGTGCAGTCTCCTGCCTCGGGATAAATAAACCAACTTCCCTTTGCCTGGCTTCTCACCATCGTTCTTGTTGTTCTGGGACAGTGAGTGTTTGCTGTGGGTTGTTGTGCCTCGACTACAGCATCAGTCTTAGAGCTGCATCTGGCTGTGTCCACTCCTCCTCTTTGGCCTGTGTGGCCTCCTGCAGTCCTCCACACAGATGCACACTGGCAACCATTTTTGCTTTGTACAACAGTGAAATTCTCTGATTTTTAAAAGTGTATTTTATTTTATGTACCCGAGTGCTTTGCTTACATGTATGTATGTGCGTCATGGGTGTGCCTGCCCATGGAGTTTTGGGTGGTTGTCAGCCGCCATGGGTGCTGGGAACTGCACCTGGGTCCTCTGCAAGAGCTACAGGTGCCCGTAACCACAGAGTCATCTCTCCAGCCTTGTGAGAATTCTCAAAATGTGTGACATTCCTTGTGCTAACAGACTCCTCTTCTGAGCCTTGCTGTGCTCATTTCCCGGGCATAGATGTCTGTCTGCTGTATGAGATCTGTTCTTCAAAAGAGCTTTGATTTTGTCTATTTGTAATGCACAGTCCAGTTGCTGATCCCTCTTTCAAGAGGGTTTTCAAATTCTCGCCCTTTGGTTCGCCTTTCTAGACACCTTATCAAAGCTGCCTCTTTATGGAGAAATGTCACCCTGTGTCCAGGGCTGTGTCAGGCCCTCAGAGCGGTGTAGACCTCCTACGACCTCTGCAGTGAATGTTTTTGTTTTGTTTTAGTTGAAAGTCCTTCCATGTGTGTAATATGCCTATGCTTCAGGCATGCAGTTGATTTCAGGTATTCTCTGCCAGTTAAGCCCTAGGAAGCAGTAATTTTTGGCAGTGAGAGCTCACTGTTGCCTGCAAAGCCAGGTTGGGATAGGGTGCATTTTTCACAGATGATTTATTATATCACCCTCTAAACAAGATAACTCTATCTACAGAATTTTTGTATAAAGGAATAACAGTCCTACTAGAGTTCTGGAACTTGATGTGAATATTTGAGGGAGGTGGGATAATTGAGAATTGGATTTTATACAGTTTAGATGTACAGTATTTTGTGAGTTGGGAACAGAGATGGCTACATGTTTACATAGGTCCTTAATGTGGTGTAGAATACAAAGATACATAGAAAGAATGCCTGGAAGGATATGGTAAGTTGTTATTAGCCTACGGATGAATAGTCATTTTGAAAAGATAAACCCATTTCCATATATAAAGCTCAAGTTCATGATAACGTGCTGTAACCAAGGTATCTAAGTACAGCAGTGTGTGGTGGAAATGTACTTTGTTTTTAGTAACTAGTTTGTTGGTCCTTCCAGATAGTGAGGTCATTTAAAGGACTAAACGTGCACACACAGATAGACAGACAGACCAAGGGTTGATCTGTTTTAAGTGCATTGTCAAGGTGAAGTTCCTGCCACAGCAGGAAGCGCCAAAGAGGAGGAGATGGAAGAAAGATGCTGAACCCATCACTGAAGCTTGCATTTCCTTGTTTGGAACTTAGTTGTCTTTCAGAAGCCCCCTGTGGTAGGCTCCTGTCCTGTGACTTGTTTTCTCCTCCTTCTCATGTCCATCCCCTTTGTCTTTCTAAGTGAGGATGGATCATCTTACCCCAGGTCCTTTTTCTTGTTTATCTTCTTTAGGTGCACACATGTTAGAATCTTTATCCTCTTATAGGTCTATATGAGTGAGTATATACCGTGTGTGTCTTTCTGCTCCTGCGATACCTCACTCAGGATGATCTTTTCTAGATCCCACCATTTGCCTGCAAATTTCAAAGCAGATGCAGAGACTCATAACCAAACCTTTGGCAGAGTGCAGGGAATCATATGAAAGAAGGGGGAGTTAGTATGACCTAGAGAGGACAGGAGCTCCATAAGGACAAAATATATCAGGGCATGGGAGCCCTCTATGAGACTGTTTCTCCAACCAAGGACCATATAAGAATACAACCTAGAACCCCTGCTCAGATGTAGCCCATGGTAGCTCAGTAACCAAGTGGGTTTACCTAGTAAGGGGAACAAGGACTATTTCTGACATGAAGTCAATAACTGGCTCCTTAGTCCCTGGCCACCCCCACCCCTCCAAGGGAGGAGCAGTCCTGCTAGGCCACAGAGGAGGATATTGCAGCCAGTCCTGAAGATACCTGACTAGGGTAAGATGGAAGGGGAGGAGGACCTCCCCTAGCAGTGAACTTGGAAAGGGATAGGGAGGAGGTGAGGGAGGGAGGGTGGGATTGGGAGGGAATGAGTAAGGGGGCTACAGCTGGGATACAAAGCAAATAACTGGTGATTAATATTAAAAAAAAAATTAAAAAAAAAACTTAGTTGTCCTGCCTAGCTGCAAGTAGGGTGGGAAATAGAGGCTGTCTGAATGGGTGGTTTTTTTTTTTTTTTTTTTTTTTTAATGATTTTATTAGCTAAGAAGAGACAAATGATTGAGTTATTTTTGGAGGGGGGAGAGAGACAGAAAGAAAGAGAGAGAGAGGGAGAGAGAGAGAGGCCAATGTTGGTACTTTTCTTAGTCGCTGTCCACCTTATTCACTAAATGGCGATCACTGATTCGACTAGACTGCCTGGCCAGCATGCTCCAGGGGACCCCGCGCCCCATCTCTGCACAGCCAACACTGTCATCATGGGCAGGCGCAGCTATGCTCTGGATTTTTCACATGGGATTGAAACTGAGGTCTTGATGCTCTTCTGGCGAGCACTGTATCAGTTCTTCAGTTCAGTCTGAAATTCTTCTTTTAGGTGTCACGCACAACATCCCGCTGCTCCGGGAGGTGATAATCAACGCGCGCTTTGTGCAGGGAGACCTCAGCACTAAGTTTCTCTCCGATGTCTATCCCGATGGCTTCACAGGTACGTGTGCTGAGCTGCTTAGTTCCCAGGAGCCTGTTGAGTTCAGTCAGTTTATCTTTATTCTTAATTGTAACACACAGCTTCTTCTTCTTCTTTTTTTTTTTTTGAATGAAGGTCCTTTGGCTTCTGTTATGCTTGGTGTGTTAGCTTCTTGGAGTATTTTTGACCATTAACATCATGTTTTTGAGTTTGTGGGGGTAATTCATGACTGTAACCACCTTCAGCTTTTCTCATAAAAACAACAGAACGGTGTGTGCGCAGTGCATGCTCACGTGTGCGAGTCTAGGCGTGCTCCAGGCATGGTGCATGTGAAGGTCCGAGCACAGTCTCTCAGGTAACCGTTCTAAGTGTAAAAAATTTTCTTCTTTGTATGAAGAAAATGTACTTGTGTTAAGTCTAACCCTGACAAGTTGTCAGTGAGTGTTTCCGACTGGTGACAGAGAGTGCCGCAGACGAGGTTAACAGTGGTAGAATGTGCTGGATTGACCTGGGACTGTGCAGCAGGGCCTCACCATAATCCCCCGAACCGGGATGTGAAGGCTGAGTCTTCGGTCTCAGGTACCTCGAGGGCTGGTGTGTAGGTTAGCAGCCTTTGCTGAGCAGGTGGGAAGCTCTGGGTTTTGCTCACTGGCACGATCAGGTCAGTTATAAAGCAGAGCAAAACACATGTTTAGTACAGAAGTGGCCTGCATGGCCACTTCAGCCTAAAGTAGCTGACTGTTAGGTACACTTGCAGAGTGATTTCAGTTCAGCCCATACAGCAAGACTTTTGTAAATTAAATTGAAAATAGCCAGTTTGAATGCTGACTGAGTTTTATCATTAATATTGAGAAATTAAGAATCTCTTTTATTTTTTTACTCTTAAAAAGTAATCAGATTATTTTTTAAACTTCTGAATTTTCAGAAGTACAGGATAAACTGTATCTTGGCCATGATTACAGTGTAATCACTGAGTGTTACCTCATTAACACTTGCTCTCCTGAGGTCAGAACCACTTAGATCATTGCTTCTTGCTGTCTCCTTAGCAACAGCACCCAGGAGACACTGTACAAACACATGTTTAGTCAATGAGAAAAGTCTTATCCATGGTGTGGAGAAAAGGGGTGCTTTGGAGCTTCAAGTCTTCTACACAGACAGCTAGATGAACAACTCACCTATGTGTTCTCAGACTTTGCTCTCTTTACTGAAGTTTAGAAGCTATTAGGTAAGTTGTGCAGAAGGTTCAGAACTTCCACGTTTGCTCAGATAATTCATTTCTGTCAGTAACAGGATAGAAAATAGTGTGCGGAAGGAGGAAGTAGGTGGGAGAAGTGTGAGTCAGTTTTACCTGTGTATGTGAGTGTTGTGTGTACTCATGTGTACTTGTTAGTGAGCATGAGTGCGTATTTGGGAAGTAAGGAACAGGAGGAAAATAGGCGTTTAACATCTTTCACTTGAGTTGATGACTATACTTGGTGTACGTTTAACATTATGTGAAGTGCTGCAAATTCTTTAGAAGCCACAGTCCCCTCCAGCTGAGAAAGGACCTTAGCACAGACACTTCTGCACAGGACACTTGGCTGCATTTCCTTTGTAGTGAGAATTACCAACACGGACTCTCCTGTTTGCAGCCAAAGGAATCCCGTGTTGTTGACTGTCTTCATTTGCCCACAAGAACCTTTCACAGTGAATTCATCTCAGCTTTCACTTTCATTAAACTCAAAGAAGCTCCAAATTCACTAAAACAGCCAAGCCAGGAACCGACAGCCTGAACCAACAGCCAGTTACTGACAGTCAGGAACCGACTCTGGGTATTTGTTTTCCTCTTTGTTATAGGGACTTACACTGTATCCCAGACTGGCTTTGAATGTGAGGCATCCCTCTTGCCTCAGCCTGTGCTTGGCTGCTTCTATTCTTAGAATTCCTTTTAATTATTAGTTTTACATTTTCTTACAGGATATATTTTAATCGTATCCATTCCCCTTCCTGAAGTCCTCCCAGAGGCCTTCCTTCTTCCCCCAGCTTCCTGGTCTTTATCTTTCTTAGAGAGCAAACCCAAACCAAATGATGACAAAATTAAAAAGAGAAAAGGCAACAAACCACAACGAAAAATGCACACAAACAAGCCCTGGAGGCCATTTTGTACTAGTCAACTACTCCTGAGTTTGAGGCCTGTCCTGGAGTGAGGCTGATATGCACAGTGTCACTCCACTGGAGAAAATGGATTTTTTTTTTTTTTCCTGTTCCAGCACCTATCAGTTGCAAATAGCATCTTGGAGATGGGTGGGACTCTCCTCCTACTTCACCTTCTCCAAGCTCGAATTTTGTCTGGCTTGAGTTTGCAGACCCCACGCCTGCAGTCAGTCTGTGTGAGTTCAATATGCATTAGCTATTTTCTCTTAGTGTCTGGGACGGAGTGCAGGGCCTTGCACGTGGTAGGCCAGAGGGTGAGGGTGCACCTCTCGCCCTGATGGTGGGGTTTGTGGTTACAGCTTGAGTACTCCTTGAGCTGGACTGGGATCCCAGTTCCTAGGCCACAGGCTTTTCAACGTCATCAGAGGGCCTCTGCGGACCTTCTGCAGATGAGCCTTCCCAGCCATTTTCTTTCCTGAGGTTACTGCCAGGCCAGTTTCTCCTTCCCTGAGTGGCTTCCATCTCCTGTGCTTGTTTCGACTTCCACAGTTCCCCCCCCAGAGCAGATCTCAGCTATGGTAAGCCATCATCTTTGATGGTTTGATGTATGCCCAAGAGACAGCAGGAAGTGGTAAAGAAGCTAGTCCAGGATCTTCTCAATATGTTTGGGGCCAGGTCACTTTGCCCTGTTGGAGTCCCCCATCTGTTTCCCATCTGGCCTCATCTCCTCATCACTGTTCATAAGCAAGTGCCAGTTTCTATGGCTGCATTAAAATTTTCTGTTATATATGTTGATTTCCCCAAATCTATTTGTAACTGAGGGCACTTTTACAGAAGGTTCGTAGATTTGAGCTTTGAAATGATTGAATCTAAAATTTTAAAATAGGATACACAAGAGATTTTTTTTGTTGATTTTTTTTTTTTACATTCGAATTTTAAATAGCAAATTTTCTTTGATTTGAAGCTAAAGGGAAAAAAATGAATAAGCTTTTGTTATAGATGAGACCCTGGTTGTTTTTTTAATACATTGAGTGAATGAATGAATACAAATAAGTCTGTGTCCCCCACCCCCCAAAAAAGAACAAAAAAAAGCACTATAATTTCAGTTGGCCAGATCTGAGCACTTCACATCTCTCTCTGGTGCCTGCTGCACTTGAGTGTGAAGCCCTGTAAACGCAGTGTCAGCGTTTTCTGTTTTCCTTTGAGAAGGTACTGGTTTGTTTGTTTGTTTGTTTGTTTGTTTTTGTAAGAATTTGATTGAAACAGGAAGCATACATATGTGTTATCATATTCTCTATTTTGTGTGCTGCTGAGGAGAAACTTCAAAGTCTGTGACTGAGCCCCATCCCCCGTGAAGTCTGAGGGCCATTAGTTGGTCCTCTGTGGCCCAGAGACCCTAATGTATCTGCTGATCTTTGTATGTTGCTGAGGAATTGGAACTTGCTCACAGGTTCATTTGTAAATACCTGTAGTAATCTGCTAGGTGTTGACATGGGAGCAATGGTGTCATCATATATTCTGTGTCCTGGGTTCTGGACCATTTTCGAATGAGGGTCGATGAAAAGCACACGGGAAAGTAACTCCAGCTTTGCTGGCCTGTGCAGGGCTCGTAGGGCCTTGCGTCATCCCTGTGCTCCTTGGAGAACTTGTCTTCCGGGTGTTCGTCCTGAGAAGTCTGGCTCCTATTTTTGTGACCCAACTCACATAGAATGCTTGGGAAAGATGATATGGGTATTTTCATGCACACTCCCGTGTCAGAAGAAGGTCAGGGACATGCCAGTGCCCACAAGGTTGGGGCTTATGAGGTCACTGAGGGGTACCTCTGAGTCCTAGAGTCAGGTGTGAGCTCCCTTGATGTGTTATGGTTCATTCAGTGTCTAGATTTGTCCCAAAGAGGAATGGATGGCTTGGGCTTTCCATACCTTTCTTTTTCATGAATTACCTTCCTGTAGAAGAATGTGCTACAGATCTTAAAAGAAATACTTATATTTAAATTGAGTGTTTTAGTTTATTTTTAAAAACAATGTTCAAATCATTTATGTCTTTCAAATACGTTTGTATGCCAGCTGGGTTCTCTTTGCTCGGAACTCCATTTGTAGCTACTGTACCATGTGATTGTCAGCTGTCACATGACTAGCAGATGGTGTGGGTGCTTTGGAGCTCTCAGGGATGTGCTAAGAACACACTCTTCATGTCTGACCCCGCTTAGACACATTTTTATATGCTTCTGCCAGTGGAGCCAGTCCTCCCCAGCTAAGGCCTGCCAGCGGCTAGATTGCTTGCCCTGGAGACAGCTGGATTTTGGTGTGAATTGATTGATATGCCTCTGGTTCTGCCTGAGGCAGGAAGAACACACCTTATTTTCTTTGAGTCAACCCTTCATCTAGACAAACACGGCCTTGCCCTTGACCAGCAGCAGGCTGCTTCTGCAGAAGTTGAACTTCTGGCCTTTTAGCCTCACGTTCCTTAGGGAACGTGGATGGGGTGTGAGGAGCAGGCGTGCTTCCTGGAGATTTCCTTGGGTCTGGGTTTTCCTGGTATGTAGGTGGCTGTTCTGTTCTGCTCTGTCTTTCCATCTCTTTGCTGGGGCTGGAGAGAAGGCTCATCAACAGAGCGTCCTAGCTCAGTTCCTAACGCCCATGTCAGTGGCTTATAACTGTCTCTACCTCTGCTTCCGAGGATGCAGTGCCTCTGGCCTCCATGGGCGCCTGCATTCATGTCTTCTACATATAATTTAAAATAAAAACAAGGTGTTGAGCTATTGGACCTGGGTGCTCTGAACCAAACCGTCAAGAGCCATGTATACTGTTAACCCGGAGCTGGCTCAAAACCCTGGTTTTATCATTTTATATGTACTTATAATGCAACAGTTGTTTTCTTTCTCTAAAAGATTCAGTACACATTAACACTTTCTTGTACTTCAGAGGCTGGTGGTAAGGTACAGAAGAGGGGCCGACCATGTATTGGTCAGTCTTTCTGCTTGCTGCTACAGAGAGATTTGGCCACCTTCAATCTGTATGCCTTTAACACTTCAGTTGTCCACATTACTGAGTAGCTACACTATTCATTTTGAACTTGGCTTTAAAAACTTCTAGAATAAAAGGCATGGTACCCAATCATAGGTTTAGAAAAGTTGATAATTTTTTGTTCTTCTATACTGAAGAATGTGAATAAATTTGAAATAAGTTGAAATAGCTTTGAAAAGTTGCTTCTGCTGAAAAGCTTCTGAAATTTAAGTCATGGTCTTGTGTAAAAATAAGAATTATTAAGTGCTAACTGGCAATTTGTTTCTAAGAATGTCAACATTCTGGTATTCTAGCTGGAAAATGAATAAACTTAGAAAACAAAACAAAATAAACAAACCTCTTTCCCTGTGTGGGCAGTGAGCTTCTGGTGAGCAGGGCTTGGGTGTTTGTTTGTTTGTTTGTTCTTACTGAGCTTCACCTGCTCCATGTACAATAGTGAGCATTAGAGATGCCTGGTAAGGTTCTTAATGGCTGATGAGTGTAAGAGGCAGTGAGGATGTTAACATCACAGATGTGGGTTGATCGATTGATTGGTTGGTTGATTTCCCACAGGACACACGTTAACACGGAGTGAGAGAAATCAGTTATTGGCCATAGCATCATCACTGTTTGTGGCGTCCCAGTTACGAGCTCAGCACTTTCAAGGGCCTTCAAGGTACGTAGTGAAGGGGCTGAAAATATTCATGATTGTCTTGTCTATACAGAAAAACGCCAGTAAAAGGACTGCTGATCTTGCCTCTTCTCAGGTCTCTGGGAAAGCACAGTAAATTCCCAGTTTAATGTGCTTCTGTGGGTACAGTAGTATAGCTTGTATTCTTAGCTTGGAAAGAGTATCTTAGCTGTCTAGTTTAGAGTAGAGGTAAGAAGCCACTCTGAGATTTGCTGGGAATTCTGTTCAGCTTAGCTTGAATTGCTTATTTTTGTTTCATTAATTTGATAGTCTTGAAAAATATACACTAATATTGCTAGGAACCAATCTGGGTGGATAAAACTGGAAGCTACAAGATGGAATTAGCACCAGAGTGAGACAGTGATCCCCAAGGGTAACTTTAAACTTCCTGGTAACCCAGGTAGAAAGGGGACACACCTTCTACTAGGGTAGGCAAACCTCAAGGGCAATGATGCTTCTCAGCAAGCTGTGCTTGCTAGAGTAACCTTACAAAGGAAGCCACGGTCTTGCTAAAGCTGGATTACTTTAATTTCTTTTCCTTTCTTTTCGCCTTCCCACAAGAGGAACAGTGACAGGGTGAGGTGGTGGTGGAAGGTGGCCAAAGAGCTCTGAGCAGAGCAGGTGAGAGCCACGCTGCCTCTGAGGGGGATGAGTAGCAGCTTGTGTGGAGTTGCATCTTGTACGTAATGGTCTGCTCGTGTGCGGCTTCCTCAGCGGAAGTACTAGGCGCTCGCTGTACCATCGTTTTTGGGAATAATGGTTCAGTGGCTGAGATCTGGAGAGAGGGGAGAGGTAATGGTTCCATAAACTACAGATGATTGGCAGGAGTGGAAAGTGGTCAGCAGAGCCCTGAATCTGATGACCTTTCTCCTTGATTGCCCTGCAGTTCAGAGTGGAAGCCGGGAGCCACATGTGCTCTTAAGATTCTACTTAAAACCCAGGTTCTTCATCACTGACCATATTTCAAGTGCTCAGTAGCCACATGTGGTCCCAGGCTATGTGCTTTGTGAACACAATGACCCTTTTCATCATGGCTGCCCTGCTCCACTGGGGTCTGTGGACGGGGCTGCTTAGCAGGAGGTGAATCTCAACCTCATGTGGCCTGTGGTTACTTTTTGGAGGACTGTGACATTTCTGCCCTCAATCTTTTACTCTTTGGATTGTTATTACTTCAGAAGCCCTAAGTGTAGTTAAAAGGGAAATTATGTGACTTTTAGGAGCTGTGTTTGCTTTTACTTAAAAGAAATAAATCCACTCATTTATTCTAGGTGAGACTCTGGAGAGGACCTACAATGTGAAAAGTGAAAACTGGGTGTAATCCTGCACTTCATCAACAGTTGCTGTAAACAGTGCAGTGCTGTACCTTGCTACTTTGCACATTAGATTCATCCTGTGACGCAGGTGGCACGCGGCTTCTTGAGCTGTTTGCTTTCAGTACGAACTTTAAACCCAGAACCACAGCTGCATCTCCATCTTTTAATATAGTGTGACTTAAAAAATCCAGTGTTCTACTGTGACTATTTACTCTCCATCCTTTGGAAAAACCATTAATTTTATTATGTCTTTAAACATCTGCAATCTATACAGGGCCCCATCTAATCATTACTCAGCTTCCACAGCCATAAGAAATGTTCTCTCTTTGTTTTCTTCCTATCTTGCACACTTGCCAACATTTTAAGGGAAATTTTGACATAAAATAAACCAGGTTTAGTTGTGTACTTTGATGACATGCTGCTCCTGTGTAACTTACACCCCTGGAGGGGTATATGGAGGACCAGTTGTCTCTGTCAGAAAGCTCAGGTGCCCTGTCTCGCTTTTGGTCCTGCCTTCCCTGACTCTCTTCCCTTGTGTTTGACTCCTCAGAATTTCTACCCCAAATTGTAAGTCTGTTCATTGCTGCTTTTGTTTCTTTATGTGTCTTATTGTTGAATGCATTGTCTTTCTTATAAATGGGAAGAATTGTACTAGTGAAAGACATAGGTCAGAGTTCAGTTATGCAGATACCTGTGGATTTGTGTGTTTCCCGAGCAACAAGTAATTGTTCCTTTCTGGTGAGTTGACTTTCTGTGGAACTTGCACTTGTGTAGTAGTGGGAAGTTCTAAAGCTGACACCACCGTTAACAACAAAGACTGTGACATTCGCATGTTTGTGGAGAAGAGCGCTGATGCCTCCTCCGGCTGAGGTCTGCTGTGTGAACCCTCGTGGCCTGGCTTCTGGGGCTGTTTTTATGATTGGACTGGGAGTGGAGTGGCATGCCACCCTTTAGGTGTGGCTCCACAGTGCTGTCATGGGTGAATTCATGTCATGTTTTTGCTTCCAAACCAGTAGCTCACAGCCTTCCTCTGGCTTGCTTGTTTTGGCTGCAGATCTTATTTTCCCAATTTCTCTGTGGTTTTTATTCTTTCATCATTTATGACTTGGAAAAAAGACATTGCCGTGTCTTTTTTTTTTTTTTTTTTTTTTTTTACTATCTAAATACTATTTAGATAGATCTAAATCTATAGAATTTAGATAGTAAATTAATAGGGGCATTTCTGGAAAAAAAAAAAAAGAAAAGTTAATGTCAGAAGCAATAGCATGCTTCCTGGGATGCCTATAAGTATACAGAACATAACTTCTTATACGCATGCATGCCATGTAGTCATGTTCCTTCATAACTATTAACACTGTGGGACTTAGGTGTGTTCCTCAAAGTTGAGGCCTTGGGCTCTATTCCTAGGAAACAAAGTTAAAAATAAAAGCACTTTAAGTAGCAAAGGTGTGAATTAAAAGGTGTATTAAAAGCTCTGTTATGTGAACCTGAAATGATTTTACTAGTCTTGCAGTTTCCTGCACTAACTGATAATTGCGAAACAGAAAGGTCATACTGATAGTCCTTTGGTCTTGTTGGTAGTGCTTACATTTGCTCAAGATGCCTGCTCTCCTCAGCATGCAGCAGAGCTTGTGGACCAGCCAAGAGAACTTGCCTTACCCTGGCAGGCCCAGCTCTGCCTCGCAGGCTTCTCAGACGCTGGTGAGAAGGCCCATCTACCTTTGTGGAATGTTGTACTTACCTCTGTCTGCAGTGCGTCTGTGTAACTCATCTTTTATAAGGTTCTGTGGCTCCGAGGCTGTCATCTGTGCTCTCTGCTGAGCCGTGTAACTTATCATAGAGAGATGGTGGCTCAGTGGTTCACTCTCCCTGAACAGACGGCACGCTTGGTGTCCCTTCCTTCCTTCCTTCCTTCCTTCCTTCCTTCCTTCCTTCCTTCCTTCCTTCCTTCCTTCCTTCCTTCCTTCCTTCCATGTTTTGCTGGCTGGTTTTATGCCAACTTGATATAAGTTAGAGTTATCTGAAAGGAGGGAACTGTAATTGAAAAAAATACCTCATAATTTCCTGCTGTAGGGCATTTTCTTAATTAATGACTACTGGGAGAGGGCCCAGCTTATTATGGTTGGTGCCATCCCTGGGGTGATGGTCCTGGGTTTTAAGGAAAGCAGGCTGAGCAAGCCCTGGGGAGCAAGCCAGTAAGGAATACTCCTCCATGGCCTCTGCATCAGCTCCTGCCTCTAGGATCCTGCCCTGTTTGAGTTCCTGTCCCAACTTTCTTCAACAATGAATTGTGATATGGAACTGTAAGCCAAATAAACTTTTTTTCTGCTCAGCTTGGTCTTTGGTCATGGTGTTTCATTGCAGCAAGAGAAACTCTAAGACACATGTTTTATTCTTCTCCCCATCACTTCCTCTCTCCCTTCCTCCCTCTGAGTGGCACAGGAAAGGCAGTGGTTCTTGAAGTAAGACTGAGGATGTGTTGGTGGGGAATGGAGAGCCACAGCAAAGAGCTTGCTGCAGTGTAGGTACTTTTGGCCCTAGAGTTAGAAACAATTTGTAAGTAGGTAGAAAAAAATGGAAGCTAGGAGACCAGCGGGAGATGACAGTAGCTAAGGTGTAAGCCTTGGTACTTTCCAGCACCAGTAACTCTTTTAGATGGGGAGGGTACAACAAAGGAGTTTGAGAAGGAGCAGGAGAAGAGGCTAGAGAGCAAGGCATGGATGAGCCCGTAGGCAGGTACAGGCTATAATTCCAGCAGTCAGGAGGTGGAGGCAGAAGAATCAGACTGGTCTTCTGTGTAGACACATGAAGTCTTTCGCTTTACTTTGATTTTATAGAAAGGGAGCTTTCCACTTCCAAGGACACTTTAAAAGAACATACCATTATATTGTCAACATTTTGCAATATTAACACTCTTCAACATAGTAGTTTTCCAAAACTGTGCATTAGCACTTTAAAAATTAGTATATTGTTGAAAATTATGTTCCAATAGAAATAATAAATCAGAGAGGTAAGTTGCATGAGGACACCTTACAGAATGTGGTGGGACACCCAAGCCTCTATACACTGAGAATGCGCTCACTCAAGGGCCTTGATTATGGCATGTTGTTTAGTTAGATCTTTCAGAGTGGAAATTCTGAGTGGCTTTGGCTCCTTCACCCAGCCCTGAACTCTGAACACTTGGGGTGGTGCAGCAGGTAGGACCCAGCCTAGCAAGGTGCCGGGAGTTTGGTCTCAGCTCCATGGTAAGATGGTACAAACTGCTTTGCCAAATTGCTTCAACCTTTGCCCTCATTTTCTTGTCTGAATAATGACAGTCTTGGCTTCTTCAGCTCTGAGCCTGTCTGAATTGAACAAGGTCACAGACTTTAATTTATCCCCATAACTTCTCTCCCGACACTAGTTCAGATAGTGTTGAAGACAGCGCTGACATGAAGCGTTCCCTGATGTTAGGGTTGGCCTCGGCTGTGTGCGTCAGTGTGTAACTTACCCTGTGCTCTGGCATGCTGGGACATCTCAGCACACAAGGGTAAAACTGCCACCAGTTTACACTTTCAACCACGGCCCTGTAGGGAGAGATTGTATTGTCTCACATTCCCTCTCTGCATCGTTGTTGTGTTGACAGCTGTGCTGTACATTCTCTTCTCGTCTGGCTTCTGGATAAAGTGGAGA